GGAGTGCAATAAGACAGCAAGTGCCATCAGAGTTGCAGAGAAATGATTTTGTAGCCATTTCTCAAGGGGAGACAGATGTGGGCAGGGGTGAGGACATATACCTCTCAGCAGCTCTGCACTACATGGTTGTGCTACCATCCGTGACCCTGTGCTTGCTGCTTACTGCTGTGTTTGAGAAACAAAGGCAGATTTACCCCTTACCTAAGGATCTGGGCCAAGCTTGAACAGTGACTGACTTCTCCAGCTGAAAGGTCTCTTGTCCCATGACACAGGCTTTCTGGAGGCCGATGCAGGGCACAACAGAGCCAGCTGTGACCAAACCGTAAATTGAGAATTTTGAGAATGCAAGTTAAGAGTCCCATGAGCCTTGCAAGGGCATAAAGAGGCAGAAAAGGAGAACCCAGATCTCTCTGTGAACTGCAGCACTACAGTCTGTCTCCAGGACAGCAACGCTGTTCAAAATCACAGTGGGAAACCATATTTGCAACAGCAGCATTGTGAACAGGCTGTCACCCCGCACAGTAACAACACGATGGAGGAAGCAGCCAATGTAGCCAAGCAGCACCAACTGCCATTACCTTAACATGCTGGGCTGTAAGCTGTGTCAGAGCTGCTTTCTGCATGGTTCAGTCATTCCTTCCATGAAGGCAGGAGCACCTGGGGCTGGGGAGGGCAGACAGCCCTGGCCAGGACCTGCCCAGAAGCCCCCTGTAGCTTCATACCAGCACCCTGAAGCAGCAGCTCCACAGCAGACCCTTGGGCACCAGCAAAGGATTGCTACAGTCTTAGAAAAATAGCCACCAGGCTTTACTCTCTCAGTCACAGCCTCAACACAAGCCACATTGGCAAGACGAGACTTGGCAAAGAGGGCATGTCTGGGTGTTGAGATTAGGAATTTCCCCACTCCAAGCCAGTGGAGAAACAAAGAGCAAAGGGGAACCAGCCCACTACACTTAACTGTGTTGTTAGATATTAAAAAAAAAAAAAAATCTGTTTTCCTTATGTCTGTTTTCAACATCTGGAAGATTTTTTTCATAAGAGAACTGACAGTGGGACCTGTATGTCAGATATAGGGAGGAGGTCTCTCTACTTTCCTGTGACAATTAATCTCTCCCAAACAACACTCTCTCTTTTTAATGCCAGGTACTTCTCAGTGTGGAAGAGGTTCCAAACAGAACTGATGCTTGGACAGCTGGGATTTCCCACCCCAGTCCCGGAGCCAGGACAAAGCCAGTCCTCCAGGTTGACCGTGCGTCACAGCCTAGGAAAATTCCTGCTTTCTGCTGTGCCTGTGGCATGCGCACACTCACACACACTCACACACATCTTCCAGATCCAGCTGCAGGAATTAGCAAACCTGCTCTAGTTGGGGCTTGGAATTAGCAGGCACAGGAAAAAGCCTGAAACTTGACTCCAAACCTCCAGTATAGATTTGGCCCAAGCATTCCCCTTTTCATGCCTCAAGACTTTTTCTCCCCCCTCACCCGCATGCAGCTCTCTCAGCACTGCGATCACCAAGAAGTATTCACCAACTTATCTAAATAAGCACCCCATGTTTCCTAGCCTACCAGGATGGAAAACCTGTCTGATTGCCCAAGCTCCTGCAGGAAGTATGATGAGGCGCTAAGCAAATAATTCTGCTTACAAATTCTTTGGGCTGAAGCAGCTGCTTTTGTAGCTGGATGGGGTTTTTGGCTGGCAGTCAGCTCTCCCTCCAAGCTGTCTCTACAAGACACTCCATTTACTTCCTGTTCCCCAGCAAGTCCCTGCAGGAGAGCAAAGAAACTGGGATTAAACATATACGACAGAGCCTAGCCAAGACACACAATCCGAATTCCCAGACAAAGTACAAGACAAATATGAACATCACAGAGGAACAAACATAATATGGGCTTAAGTCTAGCGTGAGCCCTCTGTAAATGTGATCTGAACAGCAGGCTGCACCTTCCAGCCTGACAGATTCCACAAAAGCAAGGTCTGCAACACAGCACATCTCAGGAAGAGAGACAGGAGGCACCAGGGATTTAGAAAGATGCTTTAGGGATTCAACATCACCTTGAATAACACAGAACTACTACCTTCAAATGGTGGTTAGCACATGATGTGCTTACATCTTACATGATGTAAGATGAACAGGCTCTCTCAGTCCCAACCCCATTCTGCACAACTGGAGCTGCAGGGCTCCAGCATTTTAGTTGGGAAGAGGGGGGAGTAAAAAAAAAAACCTGTCTGAACTGTCCTCTTCCTGTATGTCTGAGACAAGCACCCAGTGGCCCCTAACACCACCAGAGCACCCGAGGTCTGAGTGACACTATCAGTGTCCCTGCAGCTGCACTACCTGCCTATAGGTGAGCCAACGGCAGATTAAAGAAGGAATAAAGGAGTGAAGCAACGTTGACCAGGCATGGCCAGATGGCCAGTGCTATATTCTTAGTTTCCCCAAAATAGTTCTCTGGGGTCCCAGCACAGTACTCCAAACACTAAATTTCTGTCATAAGATTGACAGATCTAAAGGCTGCCTTCCACCCATGAAGGATTTAAAAAACTCAAGAATTTAAGTAGAACATGGTCTTCACAGATTCCTCCTCCACTCAGGAGAAGCCTGAGACTTCAGTTACCATGCAGCCACACCATGTCCCCCCTCACCTCAGGGGAAATCCTGCCAAATCCAGCTGCATTGTCAGCTCAGCAGAAAGCAGAAATCTCACAGGAAAGGTTACTCTAGTGACGTTTCCAGGACAGTTTTGCAGATCAGAGATACTTTTGGACCAAAGCCAAGGCAGAGCTGGCCAGCACCTCCAAGAAGGTGGTTAAGTGGAAAATCTCCTCCAAGATGGTAGAAAAAATAAGAGAGACACACTTTTTCTGAAGTTTCAATTACTGATGAAAGCAATGGGAAATCTTCTTCTCCCTAAAATGTTGCGTTTCTTTTGACAGTAGGGAAAAAAGAATGCTCTCTCCATCATATATGCATATTTCCCCACTATTGAAGTCAGAGAGTTCAGAAAAAGGAAAAACTGAAAAGGAAAGAAAAAATTCTGCCACCACAGCAATGATTTTTAACAAGTATTTTTAGTATTTGCCATGAATAGGGAATATCAAAGCAACCAACTCCACTTTATGCAGTTTACATTTCTTCAGGAAACAACCATCCGTGCTACAAGGACATTTTCTGGCACGTTGGGGGTGAGGGGGCAGTGAGCTGGTGACAGCAGCTCAACGAACTCTATTCAAATGCTTTGCTGAACTGGTGTCTAAGCAAGGAAATGCTCAGGGAAGCCTGGAGCCAGAGCATTTCCCATGAGACAGTGAATCAAGACCTTCCTCTCTCCCGTGACTCAGTGTCACAGGAGGCAAACTGCAGATGACTTCTGGCTGGCTGAAGCTGCAGCCATGGCATTGCAAGCAGACTGGCTCCTCCGGATGTGTGCACGGAGATGGAACGGAAGCAGGACAGGAGACCTGCTGGGGAGGCCTCACGTTGAAGCTGCTTCTGTTTCAAAGCCTGGCTAGCATCAGTCATGCTGAGAAGATGTCAAAGGGGTAGCAGGCACCTCTGGCCTGTGCTTCGTGCACAAAGAGTAGCAGAGAACATGAAAGAACAAATCAAAAGACTCAAAGCAAAGAAAGAGCTAAAGGCTGGGAAGAGAAACACATTCTGGGTCACAAAGAACAAGCAAATCACACACAAAACATGCAATTACCTGCTGCAGAAAAGGCGGCAGGATCCTCTCATTTCATGCAATGCATAGATCCCTTGAGAAAATGCAGTCTTTCTGCCATTACATCCTGTTTCGGAGGCTTTCTTTCATGCCTGTGGCTCTCCTTAGCCTCATGACTCTGATCCTCTCCACCCAGGTCTCCTGTGTCCATATGCAGAGGAAGGACACTACTGAAGAGCAAAACACCTTGTGTGCTCCTGAGAAGCCTACATTCCTCTCTAGTCACTAAAACACCCCAAAACAACGAGAAATGTTGGCTTCATGAAAGAAAACAAGAGGGGAAAAAAGGAAGATGGTTTCTAAAGCTAGCCAAATATTAGAAAGTAAAGTCATTGCATTCACATATAACACAAAGCCTCTGGTTCAATGTGACCACATCAGAGCCCATGAGGATTACTAATAGCTTCTGCATGGGTTTTCTGCCCACGCCCATTCAGCAAAGGGTACCCACAGCTAAGAGAACACGTGTCATCTTCTTGCTCACTTATTTGGAGCTCTCATTTGGAGGCTCAAACCCAGAATACCAAGAGCAGCTATTTTCAAATACTTCTTAGGTGGTTATTCACACACTTGCAATATTCCATGAGCATTTGTCATTGCCAATTATCTTAGCAAGCACTGTTTGCAAAGCAGAGGTGAAGGAATGGTGCAAAGCCAAGCAGTTCACATCCCATCTTAAAACAGGCCCCACTGCTGAGTAGCATGGCTGAAGCGCACAGCCAGCCTCTTCCCAAAAGCTTCCAGGGACAGGCACCATGAGCTCCCCAGGCAATCTAGCCATCACTTCCTAATCCTTAACCACTTTACACAAAGCCTTCCCCCTCCAAAGTTTCATGCTGTATCAGCCATAACAACCTGCCTGAAAGCAGGGAGAGGTGATGAAACATCAGAGACAAAAAACTATGTTTGCAAGGAAACCCTGAAATTTCAATCCACTTCACGCAGTTAGCCTGAAGAACAGGAGGAGAAACCCTAATTCTGTGAGAACTGCAGGAGTCTGGCAACCAATTTAGGAGCTGCCTCTGGTACTGTGCTGAGGAGGTGCTGCAATCTCAACCCCAGGATGGAAAGAGCACAAACTGGATTAAAAAATCCAGGCTGAAGTCCACTATTCATACATGATGAAAAATAAACCCATGAAGGACTGTGAGTTACGTCTTCAATTCTCACTGCAGGGCCAGCTCCTGTGAGCAGCCCTCATAAACAAACACTAGACAGTCCTTGTTTTCCTCTGTCACTTCGGAAGTCCCCCTCCAGCTGTGAGCTACCCACCTGCTTGTGTGCTTTCATGTAGACAGTTTCAGCAGTGACAAACTGTGCTGCACGGATTGCTCTGGAAAGCATGGTCTCTGCTTCTTCACTCACCAGGGAGGACTGTTGCAAATTGCAGAAATTCAGGGATTGCAGGGACCCACCTGTGAAGGGAAGAAGAGAGGCAACAGGAATAAACCAGAGTGGCTGGCTTAATCTAGCAGCTGTCAGAAGGGCTGGTCTTGATTCCATTGTTACTCCGTACATTGACGTTTCTGGCCCTGGAGATGCTTCCATAAGCCAACTCAGTTCACTGAACTGGCAGAAAACTAATAGAACAAAAAAATACTGCAGCAGTGATGAGCTCAGCCATCATCTCTGGCTGCATCGACTGAGTGCACGTGAGACTATTGCAATGATGTGCCAAAACCAGATCTTTTGAGCTGGAGGAGCACTGGACATTTACTCTCTTGAGAAACTCATTTTGTGCACACTGAACTGACTTTGCTTGGGCCCATGTGCCAGTAGCCCACCAAAAGGACATGGGACAGTCAATGATTCTCTGCAGCTTTTCCCAGCTTTCGCCTTTTTTATTTTGACACTTTTTTGTGATTTAGGGCAATCTCTTTCTCTCTGTGCATGCCTAGCACAAGAGGATCTCATCTCTGATGGGAAGACTTTGCACATCAGGACAAACAGCAGCAGCAAAAGTCCTGACCTCCACTGAAAAGCCCCATCTCTACATAAAAGTGGTCACTGCCATCTCACCATGGGATGAAGACATTTTCTGTCTCCCACATGAGATAAGCAGCAGGATCTGTGCGAGCCAAGTTTCTTGCAAGGCAAAGCAACAGCAGGTAAGGCCAGCATATGCTCCTCACAAGTGTCTAACACTCCCTTGCTCGTGTGCTGGGAACAACTGAAGCCACCCTAAAGGGTGGGGGAAAGATAGCACTGTGAGACAGCACAAGGAGATAACGAAGAAAACCAAGAAATGCATGGATTTGTTATGTTATTCAGGCTTGAATTCCTAGAAAAGATTTTTTTTTTTTTCTGGTCTGCAGCATCATGAAACATCCTTTAGATGACAGCAGCATTTCTAATACCCTATGGCACCATTCATGGTGCTTGGAGAAAATTGGCAGTGAGTCCCATCTGCTTGCAGCTGCTCACTTCTGCAAGGCACCTCTCACCCCTCGGCTGCTGCACTGCTGCTCCTATCCATCCATAAGAGAGCTGGGTAATTCATTTGGTTTTACAGAAAACAGTAAATTCACAGAAAAACATATGAAGCTATTCGAATCTCCAGATAATTCTGCCAATAAAAAGCCTGAGGGTTTCAAACCCCCAACTCTTTTGAAACAGCCATTTTAAACTTAACTTGATGGCTTTAGTTGATGAGATTACTTGGAGATAATATATGTTGAACAAAGGCAAAATTTGGGGCTAAACCTCTTCTTCCTCATGTGCCATTGCTTAAAGGGGGGATTCCTGCCTTTTCTGCCTTATTTTTCAGTTTGTCCACCACACTGCACATCTGTCCTCCCTGTCTCAGCCAGGAGGCTGAGGAGCCCAGGAAGACCAGGCCATGGCTTTCACAGGGCTGGGCCAGCTCTAGTTTTTGTCAGCTCCACGCCACTGAGGAGTTATTAGCTGCCTTCCAACTTTACTTGAGGAGGCATGAAAGCCAACTTTCCCCTGCTCAACCAGGCAGATCTTCCAGTAACACAAACAGGCAAAGGTTTGTTCATCTCACGGTTACACCAGTTCACACCACCCATAACCGATAGCTTTGTAGGAGACCACATTTACTGGTGCAGAGCAAGGGAATTCGTTACAGTCCCATTTCAAGAAGACAGGAGATAAAGGGAGTCAGAAAATCTATCCAGATGTCCTGTGCAGTAACCAGGTGTCCCAGGGATTTCTGTACCAAGGCTCCCCAGGGTCAAGCAGCTCTGCACCCTGACAGTAACGACCCCACCCTGCTCACTCAGAACTTTGTCTCCTCTAAGGGGAGTTTGGGTGGATTTTCTAACAAGATCTGCCCTTTTGCTGCAACTTGGTGTGAAGAAGTAATTAGATCTCTAGCTATTGCTTATTTCCACAACTTAAAAAAAAAAAAAGCTGCAAGTTAGCATCTTTGAGTTCTCTTCCACTTCACTAAATCTGGCTGAAATCTGCATGTGGGCAGCAATGATACAGGATGTATTTTTTTTCACAAACCAGACTCAGAAGGACAGTGGGTAGGTGTTTCTACCGATGCACCTGCAAAGGCAACTGAAAAAAAGACATGGACAGCCATAGCAAGCAACAGTCCTCCCAAAAACTTAAACTGGGAGATAGAGGTCGTACCTCTTGGCTCCCAAATCAGTACTGATCCATTAGGCCCCGCTGTCACTGACCTCTGGAAGAAAAGCATTTCTGAGTAAAAACATGGATACTGCTAAGTCTTTCTTACAGTTTCATGTTAAAAAGAGGAAGGCAGCCCAAAGTCCTTGTCACAGCTGCAGTATTACAATTCCACTGACAGGCTGGCATAAAAGCTAAATTAGGAGGCTGAATCAAACCTGTGATGCTCCTAAAAGATACCCTGAAGCCTGACTTAAAAAAAAAAAAAAGTGCTCTACTCTTTTCTGTAGCTATTTTTAATCTAGGGTGGACTGTATCATCCTGGAACAGAGTCAAATGAAAATGAGAGTTTTAAAGCACTTCACTCTCCCCCGGCTGCCCCTCTGCTCTGCGTCAGTCATCACTTCTTGGTTTGTAAACGCTTAGCGGGATTTGCACAGGGCCAGGCAAATCAGGCTCCTCCATTTACTGCTACACAACAAATATATTCCGGTAACAGGCTGTTCTCCTGCCAGTGCCTTCTGTTTTCCAACTCATTTCATTTTCTTTAGTGACTTTATTTCAGACAAGTGGATAACCAGAGCCTTGGGTTGACTCCATGTGGATTCTGTCTCGCAGCAGTGCCAGTTATTTCTTTGCAGAAATCCTGCTCATGTAGGAAGCAGGTACAAAATCTTTCCCCGCCATGCCAGACCCAGTTTATTTGCTCCTGTTTCCATTCCCTTTTCACCACCAGTCAGCCCACAAAGCACTGACTGCTGCTCTGCCCAGGGCTCTCTCCCCACTGCCCCCGCTGCCTTTCCTGCCAGGGTCTCCCAAGTGATAGCCAAGGAAACCTATCCACACCTATGCAGGCTGGGCCGGGCCTTTGTTTTGGGCAGTGACGTGTGCCTGGGGTGGAGGCTACCATTGTGCCAGCTCCCTGATTCCACAAAGGAGCGTTAATAATTTCTTACAACTGCAGTAAATGAAGGGTGGTAGTTACACCCAACCTATAACATTATACATCATTGTTTTTCCTGTTACCTGTCAAAAAGGAGGTTTCTTCCTTTTGCCATGGGAAGGTGGCTGAAGTTGCAATGTCACCTAGGCAGAAGCCACTAACTTTAACAGGATTTCTGTCAAACACGTGGACCATCTTGATGCACATTCGGGGTTACCCTGCCCTGAGCTCCTGGGACAGTTTGGATCAGAAATCAGAGCTTGGCTCCCTCTCTCACCTGCCATTGTGTCTCCCCTTGTAAGGAAGGGATGCAGGGGGTAATGCAGCTGCCATCTGTGGTGTTCAAACAAAGCAGTTTGACAGCACCAACAGAAAAATACAACTGTGCTGTGGAAAGCAGATGCTTTTTCACAAAAATGAAGTAACTCTCATTTAGCCCATGAAAGGTATTTCTTGCAGAGAAATTGCACAAGAGCCAGTCTGAAATCCTCTTATTTGTCTCAAGAGGTACCCAGCTCTTCAGGTTCTCTCTGACTTGAAGAGTGCAATCACAGACCAACCCTTGGCTTCTTCAAGCATCATATAAAGAACAGAAAACAGTAGGCAACATCCACTCCCCCACCCTTGCACAGCACAAAGGTTATGTACAAGAATTAAATATTACGGCCAGAAGCCTTATTTTGCAGAATATAATCTCATTTTTCATATTCAGTGCTATGTTAAACCCATCCTCCCAAAACTCAGCCGTGCCAAGGCTTGTGAGCTTAGAGTGAAATTGTCTCCCACAGAAAAGTTTCACTACCCCAGCAAAAAATGAGGAGTAGTGGAAAACAAATAAAATTACACAAGTGGTGAAAAGTAAAAGGAGGTGGTTTAGACACATCCTATCTTGATATGCAATGTTTCAATAACCAGGGTGAGGAAATGGGTTTTCCTTTTAAACAAGGGTGGGCCAGATCCTTGGCTGAGAATAAATCAGTGCTGCCCTGCTGAAATCAATGGATTGTTGCTGATTCACAGCAGCTGAGGGTCTGGCATGTGGTTTTCTCCTGACAGTATCACAGTAATTTAATTCTAAATTAAAATCATGTGGAGATGTTGTTTTGATACAATATTGTTAAATACCAAATATACCAAAACTGAACCGAACTAAACTAAAATTAACCTAAAATGAGAGAGAGCAAAAGGAATGCCTCTCTAATGTAATACGGACTCAGAAGATAGAAAGAATCACAGGATAATTTGATGAAATCCCTTGAATCATTCTCACCGACTAATTAGCCTCTTCATTCTGGAATGAGGCCATTGGTGGTGTGAAGGTTTCACGGTTTAACGCATTTCCTCACGCTCACTAAGAGCTCTGCATAATTCCTGAAGCCAAAAGCACCAAGGATACAAAGAACAGCTGGACAAACTGGCATGAAAGGTGACTGTAAAGGGTGATCCTCTCTCACTAGCCCCCAACAGCACAGGTGGCCAAGAGGGGACTGTAGCCACGCTGGGCTTGAAAAGCCAGTGGGTCCTGCACAGCACCCCACTGTCAACTAAAGTGCTACAACCAACCGAGAGAAACTAAAGGATATTCTTCAGCTGCAGATGTGCAAGCAGCACCCTGGAAACCCCTTGAGTATCACAGCAAGCAGGCAGGGGAGAGGCACACCCCATTGCAACTGCTTGTGCAACTCTTTCTCCATTTAGTCACATGGCGGACATGAGCAGGACTATTACAGCCACACATTGAGTAGGGAGTGATGGATTTCACACAGATTATCAGCCTTGCCCTGTCTGGCCAAACCCCAGTTCCCCCTGATCCCAAGCGACCAGGCCTCCAGCAAGCGCTCAGCCTCTTTCAGGATCAGCAAGGATGATGCT